CCTGAGCCTCTGACCTGTACCCTAGTTCTGTATGCACAAATAAATAAATCTTAAAAAAAATTAGTAAGAATTACATGTCTAATAGCTATATTAAATTTGTCCAAGTGTTCCAACATGTCTTTTATAGTCTCAATCTTTTTACAAAGAGTTATTTATGCATACAAGAACTGGAGTACAGGCCAGAGGTGTGGAGGTGAGAGGATTCACCAGAGACAGAGTGGGGAGCAGAACAAGGAGGCTGACTGAAATCTGCTGAGCGGAGCAGTGGGTGAGATAGGCGAGGCCTGCTGTGCCATGTGGGTCAGCTCCCTCTTGCTGCAGTGGCTGCAGAAAGTCTCATAGTGCTGTGCTTTAATCTGTTGTGCCACCAGGGAGAACCCATCAACAACATACCACAAAGATCTTGTTACATCAGTTCATAAGGCTCCTCCTTATTTTCTTGGTGCATAGTACTGCATGGTGTGGACGTACCATCGTTTATTCAACCAGTACTTTAAAGATGGGCACTGGGCAGTTTCCAATGACTTTCATGCTTTAAAGTATCATAGTGTGTGTCTTTTTGTATTTGTGAATGTGCCTTTTCTCTCTATTTCTAGGGATAGGAATGTGGGGTAAATGCATGTGTTTGTCAACAAAACTTGTTTTTACTAACATCGCTCCATAAGGGTGAGACTGGTATGCACTCCTGGCATTGATTTTACAACCCATGTAGATCTAACCATGAGCACCAGAGCTGAGAGCTTCCTTGAGACTAGGAGCCATCCGCCTCCCCACCAATTAAGCCACCCCCCCCCCAACTCCCTCTGCCATATCCCTAGTCATCTGCCAAGGTCAGAGCAAAGGGGCCTCACTGATCCCATTTCCAAGTTCATCTTCCTGACTTGTCCCAAAGGTCTTTGTACTTAAAATGCCAGAGCAGAGAGAAGTATCTGATAAGGCCAGAAGACATCAGCCAGAGAGAAACTGGAACGAGACGTGAAAGAGAGGCAGCCCCTCACCCCGGCACACTGTTCTCATCCCCATTTTCTCTTCTTTGGCATCTCCACTATCTCCCCCAACACAAATTGCCCCAGTAGGGCCCTCCCTGTGGTACAACAGGGTAAAGCCCAGCGCCAGGAGGCTGTCTGCAGCCTCTGCAGCACCAGTTCAAGTTCAAGCAGCAGACCTCTCCTGATCCTCAGCAGGGTACTTGATTGATCTGCCTGTTCTGCTCCTCACTCTGGCCACTCTGGCTCTGGTGAAACCTCTCATCCCCTGCATCTCTGGACTGTACCCCAGTTTCTGTATGTACAAATGAATCTTTAAAAGAATAAAAACAACAAACTGCCCCCAGTAGTTACAACCCTGGAGTTCTTGGTTCTAACTAGATCCTAGCTGCTTTCCTTCCTCAACCCACACTCCCGTGGGCTAACCACAGAGGACTGGCTTAACGTGGAGGTAGGAGTGGGCAGCCCCTGCCCCGGCAAGCTTTGTGAGAAGAGGAAATAAGGCAGTAGAAGCAGAAAGGGGAAGGGGAAAGAGGGGAAAAGAGAGATGCTGGGACAGGAAGCCTCTCACGCTGGGACCTCTGCCCTAGGGCCTGCTCTAGTCCCTGTCCTGTCCTACAGCAGGGAAACTAGTGGGAAAGGATGTCACTGCGTCTGACATGGCCCAGATATTTTGCTTCCCTGTGGTCCAGAGGTCTGGCCTTTCTCATCTTTCTCCTCACCCGTCCTCACCAAGTACCAACTGGGAATGATAGTTGCTCCTCTGAGGGGCAGGCAACTGGGCTGAGAGTGAGCCCCGTCTGAGAGCAGGCAGACTGGGGGGGACGGCTCAGAGTGCTGGGGTTCCTCCAGCACTGAGGCCCTGGGCAAGGCAATTTCTTTCAAAGTCAAAACACTTAGGGTCACTCTAAGCCAAACATGCTTCTTAGGGCTTTGGAGATCAAGAACCAACATCTACCCCTTTCTTCCCTCTAAAGCTTGGGGGTGGGGGTGGGGGTCAGCACCCAGGTTTTGGGGTCCTGGATCCAAGGCCAGGGTCATAATAAAAAAAGAGGACTCAACAGGGGGTTTACTGAAACCACCTTCTTGAGAGTAAGGCTCCCCAATATCCTTGCTCAGGGGTCCCCCTTGTCCCCCCACCCACACACACCTCACTTCCTTCAGCTCTCACAATGACTGACTCACTGCAGTTTCTCCTCTAACGGCAACCTTCCCTTTCCACTCTTCTGCCATCCAAGACCATAGAAACTTGACAAACCTGACCTAGCCACACCCAGCATTTTTGTGGAGAACGTGGTTTTCATTTGCTGGGGGGGTGGGAGGGGTGAGGGTGGGGAAGTACCTCAGCTAGAGCACCGGAGAAGTTGGGAATCAGCCCCGTGAGCAGATTCCCAGGCTCCTCCAAAATGTCACTTTCTTCTCCCAACAAACACACCCACAACCTCTCAGGCTACGTGCTAGGTGCTGGGCGCCCAAGGGGTGAGTCAAGCTGTGCCCCTTCAACTTGACCTTGAGTCAGGGGCCAGAATGTGAGACCCAGGAGGAAGGGCTAGAGGCTCAGCACAGACCGAGGCGGGAAATCTCCGCTCCTCGGCTGGGGCGCCCAGGGCACCGAGTCCTCAGAATAGGAGGCGGAAAGCAGAGTGGGGTGCGGGAGGGGCTGCAACGGGCGGGGCAACTGAGCCTCCCGGGGGAGGGCGGCGGGTTTGCAGCAGAACCAGCCAGCCCCGCAGCGCAGCTCCGGCTGGGTGGGCTGGGGCTGCGGGTAGATTCCTCTGCAGCCAGAGTCCATTACCGTGAGCGGGCGCCTCGGTGCGCCGCAAAATCCGGCCTTGCTCCGGTAGGGGGTGAGGGTGGGGGGTGGGGGCGGCAGGAGCCATTCAGGAATCCGCTAGCTTGTCCCTCCTCTGAGCTCTGATTCTGGGCAGGCTGGCTGCTAGAATGGTGGGAGGAAGGGGCCCAAGACAGGAGGGGGGCCCGACGTGCTTTGGGGGTTGTAGCTCAGCAAGATGGTGGCAGGAAGGATGGGGATCCCCAGCAAAAGCAAAGAAATGGATTTCCCTTCTCTCTCCTACAGAAGAAGAACATGGAAGCTGTCTAGGGTCCCCTGCCCGCTGGGGAGAGCCTGCTTCCCCTCTCAGAACACAACCATAGAGGAGAGGTCTAGCCTTGGGGTGCAGTCAGATCACATATCCAACACCTCATAATGAAAATGGGTTCTTCTTGTTTCCCTGGGCCTGCTCTCCTCCAAGTCTTTTGCTTCCTTCTTTCCAGTTTCTAGCTACACTGCTCCTCCAACCGCCTAGCTGTGTCCTACAGCAGGTGCTTCCTTCCTTTCTGCCCCCCTGACTCCCTCAGTTCCAGGACCCCCCTCTCCAGCACCCTACACATCCCCCCAAGCCAGTTCTCCTCTCTACCACCCTCAGCCAGCAAGGCAACTGGCTTCCACCACCTCCAGCTGCCCTCCTCCCCCCTTCCCAGCCCTCCCTTCCCCTCTAACCTCCCCCTCCCCCCAAGTCTCTTTCCAGGCCCATCCCAGCCAGGGATGACCTACGTCTCTTTCCTTCCCTCACCAGTAAAGGCCCCATGCAGAGGGGGCTGGAGGAGGCCTCCATACTGGAAGAGCAAGGAGAGGGACAGCTCTGGCGAGGGAGCCGAGGCCCCCCTGCAGCGCCCCCCCCCCGCCCGCCAGCCAGGTGGGGAGGCCCGAAGACTCCAGCCCAGACACCCCACCGGAAGGAGGAGAGGGCGCGGCCGAAAGGGATGTTTTCGCCTCCCCCCCAGGGGTGCCCGCAGAGTGCCCGTCTATTTCTTCATCCACATCCCCTACCCGGGGGCAGGCTGCACGTCTGCGAGTTATTGTAAGTCGGGCAGGAATGCCCGGGAGGGAGGTGCCGCGGACCAGCGGCGCGGCCACTCCCGCGCCCTCCACGCCCAGCAGAGCAGAGCGGGTCGGGCGGCGAGATGCTGGGTGTGTGTGGCTGCTCGCCCCGGAGGGCGCCAGCCGCCGCCTCCACCCCAGTGTGAGAGCGAGCGTGTGCGCGCGAAGGCAGAGTCAGAGGGACAATCCCGGCTCTTCAAGCCGACGAGGCCTCGGCCCCAGGCGCTCACGGAGCCTCCCAAGCATGCCGGTGACTAACCCTGACCGCCAGACAGGCAGCAGCCCCGTCACCCGCCTGGAAACTGCAAACTTTCCAACTTCACTCCCTTCTCCTTTCTCCCCTTTGGGACCAGAGATGTTTGGGGCGGTTCCCTCAGAGACACTCATACAGTTGGTTCTCGACGCTCTGCACACTCAAACAGCAGCGACGAGGGAACTCCCAGCTTTTTCCACAGCTAATTATAGACGTAGAAGTCCGAGGATGTTTTGCAAGCGGCAGAGAGAAACTGCTGAGGTTTCTCTACAAAGCCAAAGAAATTTACCGTGTCCACGCTCCTTCCCCACCCCCACCTTCTCCGGCCGCCACCCCCACCCACACTCCCCCTGCGAGCCCCTCTCTGTGCCCACTGCAGCCCCTTCTTCCGCAAAGATTTCTTACTCGGTTCTTTTTTCTTTTTCCATCTCTCTTTGGGGCTTTCGAGAAAGGGAACAGACACGGAAAATATTTTTGCAACAGTTTTCCATTCTGTCTCATTCCCAAGCCCAGGGGGATGGGGAGGGCAGGAACGGATGGGGGACGGGAATGCTTTTTCCAAAAGCTCAGTTTGGGTGTGAAAAAGAGAGTCCCTTCATTGTCCTACCTTCCGCAGCCCAGACATGTCAAAAGCTAGGAAAAACCAAAGAAAATCACTTGTTTGATTATACGGTTTCTCAGAACGGAGTCTGGGAAAGAAATACAATATTTGACAAATCTGTGTGCGCGCCACACACACACACACACACACACACACACACACACCAGTGGCAGGAAAAATTCTAGGAAGAGGACACTCGGAGAGTTTTAGAAACCATCGAAAAGGGAGAAAGAGACAAAGTTTGCAAATAGCGAGTCAATTCATTCTCTGCAAGCCTACCTCTCTTTCTAGCAAAGATCCAGGCTTCTCCAAGCGGGACTCTCCCTCCGGGTTTCCATGGACTGGGCTAGCGTGGGGGCGACCCCCCACCGGTCTCCCCAATGTAGCGAGCGCGCTGGAGATGCCGGCTTTGCGCTAGCCTTCTCAGCTACCGCCAGGGAGTGGGCTGGGTCTCCTCCCCGGCCCTCCCAACGGGAAGGACTGTTCAGGTTCCTGGAAGAAAATGGGTGCAGGGGAGCTGCGCGGGTGTCTCTGGTCTTGCTCTCCTCGGGGTATGGTTCCCCAGGAAGTTCGTACTCCCCTCCCTCAACCCCCAGCTTTGGACGGTCTCAACAGCAGAGCTGTCTTAAGAAAATGCTTGTCATGGCAACAGCTCCAGCCAACTCGGGCCAGACTCTTGCTCACCAGCTCCCCGGAGCAGGGCGGGAGGAGAGAGGGGAGGGGCGGGAGCTGGAATGGAGGCGGGACTTGGCGGGGGGCGGGGGGCAGGCGCTTACTCTTCTCTTAAGGTGGCCGGATTCCGGGGCTAAGGCTGCTTCCTGCTTTGTCTTAAGGGAGAATGGGGAAAGGCCGGGGAGGAATCCTCTCCTTTGGGGTTTCCTCCTGCCCTGGCTCTCGTTAGTTGAAAGGGAAGGGCGGGGGAGAGGGGGGAGGGAAGAGGTGGAGAGTGGATGTGGGCCGCGGTGTTAACCGTTACTGGGTGGGGAGAAAAAGGAAGCTTTGCTGGCAGTTGGCTTCCTGCAGCTCCTGCCAGCCCCGCAACCTCTTACTAGCTCAGACCCGGGCCCAGAAAACCTAGATGGTTTCGAAACTTGCACTATCCCCTTCCACCCTCCTGTCCTGGGGCCTAATGGGAGAAGGAATTTGGACAAAAGGGGACTGGGGGTGGAGGGGACAGGGAGGACTGGCAAATGACCCCCACCACCACCACCACGTGCATGCACACCTTTGCTTATACCTTAATGCATAGTGCTTCATCGGGAACTTACAATCTGGGGTGCCTTTTGCCGCCTCCCCTTGCCTCTGGACCTTCGGAGGCATATCCACTGTGATGGAAACAGCTGGCTACTTTTGGGTCTTACTATGTGTGGGTTCTGGCCCCATGAGTCTAATACTCAGCAATCTTGAAAGGTACATATTATCCTCAATTCATAGTTGAGGAAATTGGGGATCAGTGACTCACCCAAGGTTACACATCTGGTTAATAAGAGTCAAGAGGCAATGCCGAGTCACACTGCCTGCAGAGCTGGGTGCGTTTGGATTACACTCTGGCATGCATTTCCATTCTAATTTGCAGCAGACATCCCTGCACACCTATACCCAGCTCACAAGGTTTGTCACATCCCTGCAGCCACACACCCACCCACTGGCACTGTGCAACAGTGCCACCCATAGATCATGCATAGAACCTTAAGGCATTCAAGTACCAGCATGCACCATGGAGTGGTTCACACAGCGACTCGCTGGTATCTTCCCACACCTACCTCAGCACACACTCATATATGTCTCACCTCCACCTCACAAGTTATTGTGAACTCAGATGTGAGGATGACTGACCATAACTTCAGGGGGCTGGGAAAAGGCCGCTTTGATCCTCCCAACCTAACCCAGTACCTGGCAGCACACCTGACCATGGGCGCTCCACACCCCGACACAGAGCCATGGGTTCAGGGACCGGCAGAAAATCCCTCCTTGGGGTTCTGTTTCCCTCTGCCCATTAGCACCCCTTGAATTTCCTGGCATTTGAGATTTCTATTTTCCTAACCTACTATTTCTCAGTAACGGGTCCACATCTTCTTTGGGAACTAGAGAAAGTGAAAACGGGTTTAAAAGAAATTGTTCTGGCGGGACTGGGCTGGGCTCAGTACCTGGAGCATCTGTATGGCAGTATCAGCTGCAGCCGCCTCCTACTTTGGCAACCACCCAAAGTAAGCCCCTGCCAGTCCTTGCCCCTCTGCTGCCCGGCCCAGGCAGGCCAATGGGAGACTGTAGGGTGGGAGGGGACTTTGGGCCACCCTCATGGCAGCCATTTGGGGACTTTCTGTTTGGGCATTGACGGTTTCACCCTGCTGGCACCAAATCTAGTTTCCTCTACCCCACCTCCAGTGCCTTTCCGTGGAAGAGCAGAGAGGGGAGATGGTTCCTTGCAGAGCTTGGGAGACCTCACCAAAATGTCAGCGTGCAAGGCTCAGATCCATTTGTTAGAGAAGTCGCCAAATGAAAAGAATCGGTGGAGCAGAGCCTCAGGTTTAATAGCTGGGGCTCCCCCTGAGATGTGACATCTAATGGTTTAGTGCCCATTGTGGGCCCCACCTTGACCAAGAGCGCGCCCGTGCCTGAAGCGGGCTTTCCAGGTGTGGAGGTGTATTTGAAGAATGTCTGCTGTGGCTATGAGTGGAGGCTTTACCCAGCTGTCCCCCAATCTTGTCCTAGGGGGAGTAACCAATCAGGCCCAGTGTGTGGCCCCATTTAAAGAAGTCTGCTTTGGCTGCTTGGCCTGCAAACCAGATAGAGCTACTAGTTCATAACTGGTTAGGGTTTGAGAAGCGAGATCTCCCTTCACTTTCCCTGGTTTCTGGGGAGACACTGGGCAGAGACTCCATGTCTGCCGTGGGGTTGGCTGGCAGGATTCCTGGGCTGGCAGGAGTATGGTTTGTGCAACAGCTGGCAGGGCGGCCTCTGGCACAGCTCAGTGACCCCTTTCCCTAGTAGGGGGGTATGGGATAAGAAAAGAAGACCCCTCCCCCACCTCCACACCTCATGCCAACGCCAGTCTCTGTGCAGACAGGAAAGATGTGGGAGGTGGGTCAAGGTGAGTTCACGGGTGACGGCAGTAGCCTCTATGGCTGAGCTCCCCACGGAGGCCTGTTTTCTGGGTGCTTTGTAGCTTCCAGCAGTAGGCTGGCCATCTAGAGTGGATAAAAATAAATCTGTCCACAAAAATAACCACTAAATGTGGGAAAGTGAAGTTGTAGCCCTCCTCCCACTGTGGCGAGAGGAAGGGCGGCCTGAGTTCACCGTTACTCAGCTCTGTGTGACGCTGGCTTCTGAGTAGCCCCTTTGCACCTGCAGGCTGACCTTCCAGGCCCCCTGTTTCTGCAGGCTTAGCTGTTTCCCCTCAGTATGGGGGGTGGGCGGGCATGGCTTCCTCTGGGCAGACCAGGCCAATCTCTGCAGGGTGTCCAGCACTGTGGGCCCCCTTTCCCTCTCTGGACGTGGGCCTCTTCTTCCCCTCACCTCCCAGGTGCTTAACATAACAGGTTCCTCGGAGTTCTGGAAAGCTCTACCTTGAGCTCTCCTGTGCACCCCCCTGGATGTAGCACCTAATTTTTCTATCTAGAACAACCAGGGTGGACCCTACAGCTGAGACCCAGTTCCTTAAAGTGGTCTTTGTCTTCACTTTTAAGATGGGAGGCCTCACCCTTACCCCACCCACAAAGAAATGACATTCTTTCCAGGGATTTTTGAACTTATGACCTAAGAGAGAACAAGATTCAGTAGAGACAGAATGAGGAGAGAGACTCTGGATGGAGCCAGGGCGGGAAGAAGGACACTCTGGATGGGAGAGGGGTAGTTCCCCCTAACTTGGGAGGAGCTGCCAGCCAGTGGGAAAGAATAAAGTTTACAAGCAGAAAGAGTCAGAGAACAGCTGAGGAGTCAAGCCCGCGGCATCTGAGTCACAGGTACCTCATCCCTCCAATCCCCTCACTGTTCCTGCAGATGAGTGTAGTATATGACTCATTATGCATAAGCCAGACTAAGTGGGGAGGTTCGGTCACCTGCACTCACTGCTATGGAGATGTATATAGAAAGTCATATAAAAACGCTGTAGCTGGTACCTACTGTTTAGGTATCCTCGATTCAGTGAACTTGACTCATTCATTTTACTCATTAACTGAGAACCTTCTATTCAACTCAGGATATGTTTATTAAATGTTTACGGTTTCAGCATACCCTGGACTTGGATGAGGTATATAGGGATAGTAAAGTTTATATATGTACTTACATATATAAATAAATATATTTCTATATATCATGCATAGCTAAAGAGAAGGGTCAAAATCATTCTTTCAACATAGTTATTGAGTGCTTACTATGTGCTAAGCAGTACATGTTAAAAGATGAAGTGTGGAAATATATGTCTATGGTGATTCCAGGGATGATTACATCTGAGAAATTAGAAAGTTCTGGAAAAGAGATGCTATTTGGGAGGGGGTACCTGGAAACCATGCAAGCTTAGAACAGTTTTTGAAAGGGGGGGAGGTGCTGAAGCATGAGGGGAGTGATGTGAACAAAGGCACCAGGTAGGAGCATAGAGGCTTAGTCTGGGGGGCGGGGCAGGGTTGGGACTGGGCTGCCCAGGCCCAAGGGGTCTGCATTCAGCTGGCTGTGACCCCAGTGTGCAGGGGAGACTGGAAGCCTCGAAGGCAGTAGAGATGACACAGGCACAGTGCAGCGCAGGGTGGTTCCACACAGCTTAGTTCAGTTTCTGGCAACCACGATCTCATTGTGGAGACACATGAAACTGATAACAACGAAACCAAGTACATGATGACATCTAAAACTTGGGCCCAGATGAAAAAATCCAATGAACTCATTTCGTGAAAGGGAAGCTGAGGCTAGGCTGGAACTTTTGAGGAAGGCTTCTTAGAGTTGGTGGGACTCCAACTAGACCTTGAAATTCTTCCTACTCCCTGCAGAGCTGGCTGGGGGATGGCTGGAGGCTGGGTGGACAGAGGCTATCCAAGCCATATCTGCCCTTTGCCCTCTGTCTTCATGGTGCAGAGCTGGAGCCAGGGGAGAGAGCTGGATTCAGGAAGACCGAGCTTGGGAAACTAACTTAGCTGCAGGTTGGCCACAAAGACTGGGAAACAGAGAAACTGCAGCCAAGGGACTGAGCCTGTGAGGCAGTCCCTGGAGTTGGCCTGTGCCAAGATAACAGGAGATAAAAGAGTGCAGTTAGAGGAGAGCACAGATAGGAGTGCCTCCCTTCCAGTAAGTTTATCTCCCGCTGTGATGAAGCTTCAGGAACCAGCTGGAAAGGACTCTGGTCCTGGGAGAGGAAAGTGACTTCAACGGGGGAAGGGAAGGTTGGAGGAAGTTGAGGTGGGTAGTTCCCGCTGTCCCAGCGTGAGTCCAGCAGACAGCAACAGCTGCCTCAGCCAGCTATTTCTCCCCAGCAGGAATCTGCTGGGCTTCCCAGGGGAGGTCCAGCTTCCAGCTCAGCCCCTTGCTGAGTGGGCAGTCATCAACACAACACTCTACAAGCAGCTATTTCATTTTTCTCACTTGCTGGGATCCTGTGGAGAGGGTTGGCGGGACAACCTTGACGCCCATCATTAGAAGGTGAGTGTGAACCTGTGGGCAGGGCAGGCCCAAGGTGAGATCCCAGGAGGCTTTTCCTGCCTGCCAGGAGGAGCACCTGTC